CTGAGCCTACGCTTTTTTAGGCTAAAGAGCCCCATGGCTTTCACCCTGTCGTCGTAAGGTCTGTTTTCCTGACCTCCGATCATGCGCATGGCTCTTCTCTGGACTCTCTCAAGCTTCTCCACAATTTAAAAGAACACTTTTAAGTTAGTGATTTTGTAAATTAACATTCTCTTGTTACAACATTTGAGAACACTAGAACTCACAGAAATTAGTCAAATATTCCTCATGTAATTTCTCATATTCAGGGGGGAGAGGTGGGCAGAGGTGGTTAACAACAGCAGTTTCTTGTGGAGGTTTCTTGTAGAGGGCCTCAGCCTCCCACAAGCCTACAAAGATCAGGGAGGGACAGGGTTCTCTACCTTCCCAGCCCAGCTTTCCCTAATGAAAAGAGGACAAACACAGATACTGCCCCCCACCCCCCTCCACTTCTATCCAAGTATTAAAAAGGTTATCTAGGGATTTTTGCCAGCTGCTCCAAACTTTGCTGGTTCACTTCAGCATTAAAGTCAGGGAGGTTCCCCTATAAACTGTCCTCTTCACTGGGTAAAAACACAACCTTGACTTTACAGAAACCAATGGAGCATCTTAAATACACCTGCAAGATGTGTTCACTGCTTCCCATATTCTATTTTTAACTTGCCTGCATAAGGAGCCATTCCTACAATAGCGGGCATCAGACCTCTGTAGAAACCAGTAAAACCTCCTTCCTGTCAAAGGAAATATATTTAAAAAATTTAAGCAAGCTATAAGCAGTAAAAAAAAAAAATATATATATATATATATATGGATTATGGATCCAGTTGTACTGACAAGATAAGCCACAGGACACTGTGTAGTAGTGGCAATCAGACAATGAGGTGTTAATATTAAACTTCTCAGCTGCCTCAGGTGTAAGAAGGAGGGACTATTTGGTTGCCTGAGAAAGAAAAAAGGGAGAAATACGAAGTGGGTGGAAGGTCTACATCAGTGGTCTCCAACCTTTTTAGGTTGGAGATCTCTTTTGGAATTTAAAGGGAACCAAAGATCTACCCCCACCCAGCAGGTAAGTCTGTGGGGAGTAGAGGGGGGAAGGAAAGGGCTGTGGTGGGGAACAGGGCAGACTGAGACCCCAGACCTAGCTCCACTCCCTCCCTCACCACTGGGGCCTCAATCTGCCTCTCTCCAATGGCAGGGAGGTAGGGAAAGGGGCAGTGCAGGGTGGGGGGACAGAGCTGAGAGCGGCTCATCCGGGGGCTACAGTGGGGCTTGCAGCTCAGGAGGGAATGGGGGGGAGAGCGTGTGCACCCAGATCTGCTGGCAGGGTGGGGCAGGCTGCAGCCAGGGAGGTGCCAGCATTGAGAGTGCGGTCATGGGGTGGGGAGTGGGCTGTAGCCCTCCCCAACTGCTGCTCCCAGCAGTTACAACCTGCCTTCCCCCACACCCACCAGCCCCCAAGTCCCCAGGGGTGGAGCAGGCTGTGCTAGGCTGTTCTCACTAGGCCTGGGCTGTGCTTGGGTGGGCGGCACTGGGAGCGGCAGTTGGGGGAGCTATATCCCTACCCCCCCACACCTATGGCCTTGCCTCCCTGGCACCAGCCCGCCGCACCCTGCAGGCAGATCTAGGGTCACGTGCCCTCTCAGGCTGTGTGCCCCCCATCCCTGCGCCCCCTGGATGAGCCATTTGCAGCTCCATCCCCTGCCCCATGCCAGCTGTGCAGGACCTGCCTCTGCCCGAGTCCCTACCTCAGAGCTCCTGCAGCCACCAGCACTGCCCCACATTTGGGGGGGAGGGGGGACACGTGCCCCCGGATCTGTGTACGGTGGAGGAAGCTGCTGCTGCAGGCTGTGCTTTGTACTCCAAGCCCCACTGCACATGCCCCCAGGCCTCCACCCCTTCTCTCCTCCACCAACTGACCTGCTGGGCTGGGGGGAGGGGGAGACGGATACATGGGCTCATGTACACACTCAGCTCCCACCCCCCCCAAGTCCATGGTTGGACTTAAAGAAGCTCCGGGATCCACCGGTTAATCGAGATCAACTGATTGGTAACCATTGGTCTACATCCAAAGACACAGCCTGGCAGAGGTTCTCTTTCATGCAAAAATAAGGATGCTTTTTTTCCCTACTTTTTTTGCCCTCCCCAATGTTTTCACTTGCAATTCCCATAAGCTTGAACTACTGTGCACCTATAAAAGTATGATCAAGCATCCAATAATACTTCAAATTAAACGAGCTCTTGCCAAAGTGAAAAAAATTCAGTTTCCACTAAGTCATTAACAGTGCCACACAGCAATAAGTAGAAACCACACTTTTTTGCTTTGATAAATATGAAAGTACAAAATGATGAAATACCATTGTGTATATAGTCTTGAATGCATGAATAATTCCACGGTATTTGTGCTCCCCTTTCACTTGGAAGGCCAGACGTGCTCTAACCATATCAAGAGGGTAAGTACAAATGACTGCTGTTATACCTTTAAGAAACAAAACACATACTTTTATTGTTTTGGGATAATTTTAAGAACCAAAAGTCCCTTTTAAGGTAAATAGTTTAATATAACAACAAATATTAAAATTTTCTATCAAAAAATATCCACCTTTAATTAGCAGATAAAAAAAACTAAAAAAAGCTCAGCCACGCAAGGAGAATTTACACTTGCATCCATTAGGTTTAATTTGATCCACATACCTTAACCTTGATTCTGCAGTCTTCTGGACCTAAGCATATTCACGTGAGCAATCCTCTCCATTGGGGTGCTCACACGTATGAAGCTATTCAAGTATGTAAAGGCTTAAAGGATCAAGATCACAGGGGTCTA